CGCACCGGGCACGTGACCACCAGGAGGCTCTGTTTAGGAAAGCCCGCCGGGTGCAAGGGTGTGTGCGCCGGGCGAGTTTGAGAACGAGAGCCTCTGGTTGGCTCCCGCTGGGCGTGACTTGAGCTGCGCCGAGCACGATACCAGTTGTGGAATGTTTTGGGACTTCTGATGCCGCGCTAGGCGCATGTTTAGACTCGCTGGGTGCGGAGGCTCCTTGGGAGTCTCTACCATGAGGGCGCCAGGCGCAATTCGAATTGCGTTGGGCGCGAGACCTTGGTAGGTCTCTGCCTTCCCCACGCTGGGCGCGGGTTAGGCCGCGCCAGGCGCGTGAGACTCCTTAGAGTCTCTGCCTGGGCTTGCGCTGGGCGCAATTAATATTACGCCAGGCGTGTGAGAGCCTTGAGCTCTCTGGTTGGGTCACGCCGGGCGCGAGTACCCTTGCGCCGGGCGCGCTGGCCCCTGGTGCTCTCTAGTTGTGCCATGCCAGGCGCGACCATGAGTGCGCTGGGCGCGTATGATGATGATGATTTGTATGTCAATAGCTGTTAAACCTTGCTGAAATCTTAGATAGATGATGTTTAATGCTGAGTTAAGCTGAAAATTGTTGTTAAGCTGAAATAGATGAATATAGCTATGCTGAACTGGGCTGTTATGGATGATTTTAAATGTTGTATTACATGATATTGTTGTGCTCTAGAATGATGAGCTAAGTTGTGAGTAGTAGGCTGTGTTGAATACTACTTAGCTGTGTTGTATGCTGATTTGCTGTGCTGTGCTGTATATTGATGTGCTGTGCTGTGAGCTGTTTAGATGTATGCTGTGTATGGCCACTATGGTGGTGCTGTTTTAGCCGCTAAGTCGGTGCTGTTATAGCCACTATTGTGGTGCTGTTATAGCCACTATTGTGGTGGTGTTATAGTCACTATGTCGGTGCTGTTGTTAGCCACTATTATGGTGCTGTTATAGCCGCTGAGCGGTGCTGATATTGCTGAATTGCTGTGGTGTAATATAAGCTGTGCGGATGTGCTGATAGTTGTAGATGTTTTCTATTCACATATTTATATATGTATGTTGATTTCTTTACACTAGCTTACCCTTTGTTGTCTCCATGGTGTTTGGAGTGCAATGATCATACTATGTATGGGAGCAGAGCAGGGATAGGTTGGTGGCTGATGGTGAGTCTGTAGCTGACAGACGAAGCTGATCTGATTTGGATCTTTTTGTTGTTTTAGTTACCGAGTAGAGTAGCTTTGTTGTATTTTGATGTACACACTAACTCTAGTCGGATTGGGACCTTGTATATATATATATA